CCATGTTGACCAGGATGGTCTCGATCTCTTGACCTCGTGATCCACCCGCCTCGGCCTCCCAAAGTGCTGGGATTACAGGCTTGAGCCACCGCGCCCGGCCCCCACCTTTTTTTTAATCGCTTCTGTGGATGGATGATGGGTGCTGTTCATTTCCATTAAATGTATGTGAAGGCACGGTGAAAATGGAAATGTTTTTGGAGCTACTCCCTCAAATGTATCCTTAGTCACCTCAGTGCAACAGCTGGGAGGGGGCCGTGTTAAGATTCTTTTTGCATCAAAGAGGAGGTGGCAATGGTAGTTCCAGCTTGTGCTTCCCAGTTTAGCCTAACCTTTGGATTTTCATCAAATTCAGCGTGTTGGTCATTGGAAAGAGCCTTTTTCCTTCTTTTCTTACCCTCCCGTCTTGGTGTTCCCTTCTTAAAGGAGAGGAGCTTTTAATTTGCCCTTGCCACCTCGTCTGGTTTTCAGGAGACCATTCAAGATAGGCAGGACTACAAAGTTAATTTTTTTTTTTTTTTTAAGCAAATGAGGCAAAGAGAAGCCTCATTGGTCCATGGTCATGCAGTTCATACTGTCCACCTTTGTATTCTCAGACGCAGGGCACTGCATTTTAGTTTTATTTTGCGGAAGTGCAGAATATTTACTCTTTCTGTCAAACCCTTTATTCTGCCGAGGGAGACACTGATGGTTTGATGAGTGATTCAACTCTGCTTTTGGCTAAGGGCTTTTGGAGTTGATTGCAGGGGTTTGATGAATCCAAATGAGCTCTAGACATTATCACAGACTGAATAAATGTTAATTGTCTCCTACATGTGTGTTTTCAAATGTGTGTATTGTTATTAATAAAGTTGCCAGTTAAAGTCTTTCCTGAATTCTTTTATCTACAGTATATTTTTTCAATGAATGAGATTAACAGATACAACTTCCACTAGCTCTGTAGAAAAGTGTGGGTGCCTCTGAGCTGGGGGATGACTGTTTATAAGCCATCAGCCAAACTGCTGCCCCAAAGGTGCATTGGGGTTTAAATAGTCTGTTAGAAGATCACTGTTGGCTGGGTGCGGTGGCTCATGCCTATAATCCCAGCACTTTGGGAGGCCGAGGCAGGCGTCTCACAAGGTCAGGAGTTCGAGACCAGCCTGTCCAACATGATGAAAACCCGTCTCTATTAAAAAACTTTTTTTTTTTTAAAAAAAAGGTCACTGGTAATGCTGAGTAATTGAAAAATATATGATCACAAATAGAAAGCAGTACAAATAAGATGGAAGAAATAAAGTTCATAATAAAGTTAAGCTAACACCTACGGAGCACTATGTGTCAGGCAGTGTTCTAGGTCCTTTATACATATTGACTCATTTAATTCTCACCAGGACCTCAGGAAGTAGTACCATTATTATCACTCACTTTACAGATCAGGAAACTGAGGCACCGAGAAGCCTTTTTTCAGAAATTCTCCAGAGAGTAAGCTCCTAGGTTAGTGGTTAAGGGAATTGAGAAATAGGGTCATTCTGAAAACCTGGACCCTATGCTTTAGAATTAAAAAGAAATATCACTGGCTTTATTCTCTTCAGAGTGCACCCTGGATATAAATCCTGGGTGGTGGTGGCTGAGTACCTTGAGGGTGGGAAGGTGGCTGTGATCCTCCATCCCAGAGGCCATAGCTCAACTCAACTGAGTTTGTCCCCATAGTGGTGGGGCTCACCAGCTGGAATCCTTTGACTAACATGAGAGAGCCTTAGTCGCTGGTTTTGGGCTCCTCCTGGGCATGATATTCACTGGGAAGGAAGTTATAGAGTGGGACAGGGGGGAACAGGTGATAGAATTTGGTATTTTAACTCTGGAAGGGAAGTAATTAGTGATGGTGAGATTAATCCTCAAGAACCTCTTTGATCATTTCTCCTGCTCAGGGATCTTTAAACATTTGCTTATGTTGGGGTTAATAATAATTGTTATAATAATGATTGCTTCCACTTAGCACTTAACTGTTTACCTGGTCCTCTGCTAAGTAAGTGGCTTACATGCATTGTCTCATTAAATCTTCACAGCCTTTTTTTTTTTTTTTTTTTTT